CCCCCCCCTCCCACACACAGTCCAGCTATTGACATGCTGGGTTCACTAGCGTCCTCGCTCTTCACCCGAGCACTTGGGGAGTACTTTGAATCCCACTCACTGGCATCTGTTGGCCTCCGCGACTCTTCTGTCCACTTTACCGATGTGGTCCTCGCACCTGCTGTCATTGACTCGCTCGGCCTGCCTTTGGCGCTCTTTCACGGCACAGCCAAATCGCTCACCTTTACCGCTCCGCTAAAGAAGCTCAACTCGTCGCCGGCTTCGCTTGTCATGTCAGACATTGCTATTGTTCTCGTTCCGCCGGGTTGGGATCTTGCTCGCGCCCATGCCGCAAAGATCAGAGCTTTAGAGTCGCTAGAGGCTCGCAAGGCTGCCATCGCCTCGCGCCCGGATTCGCCTTCATCAGACTCGCCCGCAGCCGCCGCGTCGCCAACTGCCGCCGCCTCCTCATCGGCGCCCGAGACCGAGTCCAAGTCGTCACGCCTCCTCGCCTCTGTTGTCTCGAACATGTCGCTCGAGCTGAACAATGTCCACGTCCGCATCGAGCTTGATTCCGCTTCCGCAGCCGCCGCACCCGTCGCACTCGGCTTTACCTGTGAGCGCCTCACTGTCGACACCACCGACGCCGACTTTCAGACCGCCTTTGTCAAGGCCGTCCTTCCCTTTGTCTACCGCTCTGCGGCTCTTGCCGGCTTCTCCATCTACGCCGGCGTCGTCGCCCCGGCGTCCCTCGTCTCCCGCCATCCCGTTCCTCACTTTGCCAAGCACATGGCTGCCGCCGCTGAGGCCGCGCCACGTGATGTTCTCCTCCTCCCTACGTCAGCATCTGCCCGGCTCCAGCAGCCGCGCTCACCAACCGACCTTCTCACCCTCGCCCTCGACCTCGATGCCCTCTCTGCTTCGGTCTCGCCACACGCCCTCGCGGCGCTCTCCCGCTTGCGCGACGCGCTCCTTGCCCCGCGGGCCCCAGCGCCACACCTCGCCCACCGCCCGCGCGTCCCCGTCCTCGCAGACCCGCTTGCCTGGTTTCGCTACGCCGCCACCGCCGTCCTCGCTCAGGTCCACGACCGCGCCTCACGTCGCACCCCGCGCTACCTCGCCGCCCGCCGCAAGGCGCGTCTCGCTTACATGAATCTTTGGCAGGAGATCCTCACCTCCAAGGATGGCAAGCTCAAGCGCAAGGCCGACGCCGCAGCTCTCGACACCCTAGAGCACGAGCTCTCCTTTGACGACATCCGCCTCTTCCGCATCATGGCTGAAATATCCCTGGCAAAGTCCAATGCCCTCGCCCTTCGCTTCCCCAACGCGCCCGCTGCCCTCCGTCTCGCAGGCAAGCGCTCCCGCAAGACCTCAGTTGCCTCCCGCATGATGCGCGTCTTCCGCAAGCCACCGCCTGCCCCGGCTGTCGCCCCGCCGCCTGCTTCCGGAAAGGCGACCATCTCGCAGCAGCCCAAGTCGCTCGGCTCGCTCGACGACTGGCTCACAGAAGACCAGTGGGCCGAGTTGTATGCTGCCCTCGCCTGTGACGCTGCGTCTGACCTGACCGAGTCTTCACCGGCATCCACCCCGCGTACATCTGCCACAGCCACGCCCGACGACGCCGCCCTATCCACCCGTCTCTCGCTCTCGGTCGGCCTCCTTCGCGTCGCCGTTATCGACGCCGCCGGTTCTCGCCTTGCCACCCTCGCCTCGGGCGCCCTCTCTACCTCGTACACCTCCACCCTTGGTGGCTCGTTTCACGTAGATGCCGCCCTCTCGCGCCTCAAAGCCTTTGACCACACCCAAACCGACGGCAAGCGCAAGCTCGTTCTTGGCCCGCGATTTGCCTCTCGCGGCGCAGCTGCAGATACCCCAGACTTTGCTCTCACCTACGCCGGGCATGCGTCCGACAGCGGGACCGCCTCCGGAGACGTCGCCACCTCGATCGCCATCCGTGCAGCCCCGCTCCTCGCCCATGCCTCGCTCCCGCTCGCCCACGCCGTCACTCACGCCTTTGCGCATCCGGCAGACACTCGCGCCGCAGACTCGTGGGAGCATCTTTACGCCCGCTACGGTGACTCGTGGCACCTCTTTGCGCGCGAGATCACGGCGCAGCTCAACCAAGCGCTTGCCCCGGCCTCCTCTCCGCGCGACCTCAGCCTCGACGTCGGCGACTCGCGCCTCGTCTTTGATCTGCCCGGCTCCGGCGAGGCGCTCGTCCTCGATTTTGGCTCGGTCACCTGCGTCCGCCCATCAACGACATCGGTTTTGCCACCGCCCCCTCCCTGCCTTCCCGCCTCTTGCGCACCGGCAGATGGAGAGCCGCCCTCAGGCGCCGCAGTCGAGTCCATGGTCGCTGCATCTGCCTCGGCCTACGACCACTTTGCGCTCGCCCTCTCCGGCGCCACCATCTGGATGTCGACCGGCTCGCTCGCGTCGGGGGCGAGACAGCTCCGCCGCCGGACGCGCACATCCTCCTGCCGGCCCTCACGCTCCCATTCACGCTCCACTGGGCTCGCGCCAAGCCGGACCCGTCTCTCCCAAGCCTCTTCCTGGCCGGCCACTTTACATCGCCCATCACGCTCCACATCTCCGACGCCTCGCTCGGCCAGCTCATCCGGCTCGGCACCGCATGGGCAGACGTGGGCTCGGCAGCGCCGCCGCCACCGCCAACTGCGCCGCCGTCGCCGGCCGCGCTCGCCCAAGCTTCGTCTGAAGCCGAGCTCTTGCCGACCGCTGTCCGCTCACTCTCGTCCGATACTCTTGCACTCCTTGTTCCGTCCACTCTGCTGGCTGCCCGCGTCACCTTCGCATCACTTGCTGTCGAGCTTCACTCTGCCCGCGAGGATGCGCCGCCGCTACTTGTCCTCACCGCCAACGGCATCGATCTTCAGCGGACCGGCCGCATGTTCGACACCAGGACTTCGGCGAGTCTCACCAGCGGCGTCGCGCTCCACTTTGCCGATCGTCGCAAGCCCGTCATCCATATTTCATCTCTGGCCTACTCTGCCCTCGCCGTCTCGCCGCTCTCGCCCCTGCACGCCTCGCCACGCTCCGGCCCGCTTTTCACCAAATCTGTCCACGTCGGTGACATTGCTCTCGACCTGCTACCGCCGGCTGTCGATGCCGTCCTCCTATGGCTATCGCACGTCGTCGCTGGCTCTGGTCCGCCAGGAAGCTCGGGTCCGCCCCTTGCCCAGGGCTCGCTGTCTGCCACCGCCTCGTCCTCGCTAGCCCAGGTTCACGGCAGGTACTCACTCGCCCTCTACGGCGCCGCAATCACCGTCGTCACCGCAGCAGCAGACGATAGGCCACTGGCGACTGCTTCTGTGCCGGCCTGGCGCATCACCAGCATGACTACCCGTGACTTGTCCGAGCTCCTTGTCGAGCTTGACGACCTGGCTCTTACCGACGCCACTACCCCACACGCCCGCTACGCCACCATTCTTGCCGCGCCGGAGCAAGACTCCAAGCTCGTATCTATATCGGTGCACGAGTCGACCACCGCTGCCGTCGTGGACGTCGCCATTGCCCCACTCGAGCTGATTGTGCTCGGCTCCTCGCTAGCGATGCTGGGCAAGGTTGCCGAGTATGCCGCCACTGCCGGCGCTGAACTTGCCCTCTGTGCCGACGGCTTTGGACGCGGCCGTCTTGACCGTCTCACCCCATCTGCCCTCGAGGAGTGGTCCGCCCGTCTGCAGGCTCTCGACCTCAGCTACGCCCTCTCGACCGGCGCCGCAAGGATCGTCGTCCCAGCTGCTGCCGCCGGCCCGCACGTCTTTATCGCTTCCGCCACCCGTATCAAAGCAAGATCTGGCGCGGTAGGCGCTCCTGGCTTTCAACTCACTGTTGCCGACGCCAGCATCAGTACGGGCCGCCACGGCGCGCTCTCTGGCCTTGCTGACAGGCTCATCGTCCTACCGGTCGACATTGTGGTCTTGCAGCAGGAGAAGCTCAAGCTGTGGGAGCTGGCCTGGGCCCACTCTGTCACTGCCCAGCTTGGCCCCGACGACATCGAACTCCTCACAACTCTTCTCACCGCCGAGAGCGGCAACATGCGCGACATCGGGCCGTTGCTCGACCTCGCCTCGCCGACCGCACACCCGCCGGCACCTGCACTGGAAGCTACTCCTTCTTACCGGGATGGCCCTGTGAGCTTGGCCTTTGAGCTCGCATTGCGGCTTCCAGGCGCATCGCTGCACCTTGCTGACGCTGCCGGTATCGAGCTTTTCCGCGTCAAAGCTGGCGAGCTGTCCCTAGATCTCTCCCGATACTCGGACGGTCTCGTTTCTGCGAACGCTGCTCTAGCCGCAGCCTCGCTCGGCGACACCACCACTCCGTCGCATCGCTTGCATCCGGCACACGCCCAGGCTGCCGGTGTGTGTGCTGTCAGAGTGCAACTCACCACAGGCGGGCCTGACCTCGCGCTCAGCGTAGTGCTCAGCCTCGATGGGCTCACGGTGTACCCACTCCACCCCGTCTGGGAGCAGGTGGCGACGCTGGTGCCGACTAGCACGTCGTCGTCGCCGGCTGACTGCCCTGGCTCACCATCGCGCGCCTCACTTCTCGAGGCCATTGAGGCCCGCGCCGCGCGGATGAGCATCAGTGCCACACTCTGTGATCTACAGCTGCTCTTTCTCGGCCAGCCGGCGTCGCATGTCTCTGACACCGTTGCAGTCCTCCTCGACGTACTCGACACTAGCTACGCGCACAACGCGCGGCGGGCACAGACAAGTGCGTTTGCTTCGTTCAAGCACTGTCAAGTTGTTCGGTGTGTAGCTGCGGCTGCCAAGCGAAGCACCATCCTTGCGCCCGCCACGCTCGAGTTGCACCTGGCATCGGCAGGCACAGAGCCGCTTGACCTCGACGTCGACATCTCTGCGCTGAGCATCGACATCTCTGCGCGAGACCTTGTCCTCGTTCGCGCTATTCTGGAACAATTGCCACCGTCAGATGATGTAGGCGCCATTGCTGTCGAGGAGACACCGGCTCTGACAGGACCAGCGCGGCTCCAGGCGCAGCTGCGGCGGTCGCTGCATTTGCTGAGCCGACTCGCCCGCGGGCGCGCGGGAAGCGAGCAGCTGTCGGTGACTGCCAAGGCGATACAGGTCCTTGTGGTCGATGATCGAGGGGAATGTCTTGCGACGCCAGTCGGTCGAAGCGGGCTCTCCGCCGTCGAGCTGCAGCTGGCTGGCTGGAGCGATGATGCGACTGCAAACGGTGTCGTCACTTTTGAGCTCAGCGCCGATGTGTACAACACCGAGACGGTGGCGTGGGAGCCACTCGTCGAACCCTGGACTGCGTTTGCCAAGCTCGTGACGGGATGCGTCGTCGAGGCCGGCTCGACCCGGTGCCTCAACATCAACGCCACCCCACGCGCTGTCGGTGTACTCCTGTCCGGAGTGGCACTGATCGAGGCCCGGTCAGCGGGCGGCCGCAAGGTGGGATGGGCGGCAGCAGCGGCGGCCGCTGCCGCGGCCGATGTCGACTCGCCGTCGCTCAATGCCATGCCATATCGGTTGGTTAACGAGACTGGCGAGCCGCTCACGCTCTCGTACGCCATCGATGCCGAGGAGTCGCTACCGGTGGAGACGACTTCAGTTCGCCGCGGCGATGTGGTCGGCTTTGCGCTGGAGACACCCGGCCGGGCCGCGCGGCGCGACGGCGACGCGCACCACGACGTCCACATTCAAATCCGCGGCTACCAGCCGGGTATCCATGTCGACGTCGACGCAGTCGGCGCGGCAGCCTACGCTGTGGTGTGCACCGAGACCGGCGCTGCACGACAGGTTGTTGTCGCAGTTGCCATGGCTCATCGGTGCAAGGTTCTCCGCATCGGCTCGGGCCTCGCGGTTGCCAATAACTGCACCGAGCCGCTAGCGATTCGCGAGGCTGGCACTGAGGGTGACGGGTGGCAGTTGCCGGCTGGTGACCGCATCCCAATCCCACTCGCTGCGGCACAGTCGGCGTTTGAGGTGGCACTCCCGCATTGCGCGTGGTCGACCTCGGTCATCGATGCGCGGTCGGCAAGCTCGCCCAGGACTGTGGTCTGCCACAAGGCAAGCGGCAAAGGGCACGCTGTGTTGACCGCCACCGCCAAGACTGAGCATCTGGACTCGCTCGGCGCGTACCTCCTTGTCCTCCGCCCGCCACTCACCCTTATCAACGCGCTTCCGGTTCCGATGAACATTCGTGTGAGCAAAGGCAAGCGCGTGGTGTTTGAGAGCGGCATGCGGTGTGGCGAGAGCCTCCCGATCCATATCGACTATGCGGGACCAGAGAGCGTCAATCTCTCGGTCTGCCCCAAGCTGTTTGGCTGGTCGGCAGCAACTCCGCTGACGACGTCGCGGATTGTGGTCCGCGACCTGGCAGGCGCCGAGCTGCGGCTTGGCCTCCACTGCGAAGGCGAACAGGCGTTCACACTTTACGCTCCGTACTGGATGGTCAACGCCACGCGGGAGCCGCTGGTGTTCCGGCAGGCAGAGACCGTGCTGGCGCGCGACGCCAAGTCGGCCGGCCAGCACGCGCCGCGTTCGGCGATGAGCGCGCCATCACCGGTCATGTTCTCGCTCGTCCACATGGCGATGGGGAGGACAGCCCAGGTAGGCATGGCTGTGAGCGCGCGGCGGCGCGAGATGGCATGGTCAAAGCCGTTTGGCATCGACAGCGTCGGGACAACCGGGTCGGTCACAGTTGTGGCCGGCGCGCTCGCACTTGAGCTCGGGCTGGACATCAAGCTAGGACCAGGCGTGTTTCAACTCACAAAGGTGGTGACTGTCAGCTACCGAGTCGTGGTCCGCAACACACTCGAGGTCCCGATCCGGCTCCGACTCTCGACCGACCAGACAAGCAAGTCGGGAAAGGACGCCCGGATGAAACTTGAGCCCGGCGAGGCGCGGCACGTGGTGTGGCCGATCGGCAGCGCCAGCTCGCGTCGGATGGCGATGCGGCCGCGAGGTACTGGCCATGGCTGGTCGACCGAGTTTGCGGTTGACTCCATCGGTGAGTTTGCGCTCAAGTGCACCGGCGACGGTGTGTCCATGTTCCTCTCGTGGATCCATGTGGCGCTCTCAGCGGCGACGCTGATTGTGACGATGGCGCCCGCGGCCGGCGCACCGCCGTTTGTGGTGAGCAACGAGACACCGTTTGCAGTCTCGCTCCGCCAACTTCCAGACGGCGTGCCGGAGGTCTTTGAGCCGTGGTGCATGGCCGCGCCATACGCGTGGGATGCGCCCCAAGGCGCGCTTCTCGCCGAGCTCGCGGTCGACGATCCGACTGCTACCGGCGCGGTCCGACTTGCACTCGCTGAAATCGGAAGCCACCACTCACATCTAGTGCTGGAGCCATCGGGCGCAGTTGTGAAGGTCAAGGTGGCGACGTCCGGGCGGACACTGCTGGTCGAGCTCTCTCCCGCCGACGATGGCGATGAGGAGAGCGAGGGCGATGATGTCGGCGAAGACGGAGCCGAAGCCAAAGTCGGCGCCGATCGAGCGGTGTTTATCTCATTGGCGAGGCTTGCCCTCTCTCTTGTCTGTCGCCAAGGCGTGGACTCGACGGGCTCGGTGCGCGAGGTGGCACTTTTGACCGCCGAGGGTGTGTTTGCCGAAGTCAGCGTCGACGGCAGCGACCGCACGCTGTACGAACTGGCACTGCGAGAGGTCCAGATTGACAACCAGCTGCTAGACGCACAGTATCCTGTGATGTTGGCATTTGATCGGGCGCCGAACGACGACGGCGGGCGTGGAGCGTGGAAGACCAAGCCGGCAGTCCACGTCACAGCGGTGGAGCGGAGCTCGCCAGACGAAGCCGTTGTGGTCTTTGAGCATTTGGAGGTGCTTGTGCAAGCGATGCGACTCGAGCTCGACGAGGCCGCGCTGTTTGCCATCCTCGACTACATGTTCCAGTGCGCGGAGGCTTTGCCAGACGCTGCGAGTGGAGCAATGCAAGAGCGCGACGACGGCGCTGGCGCGTCGCACACCGAGGCGCTGTGCGCGCTGGAGGGTCTGTCCACCAGCGAGTTTGTAGATGCCGCCGGCCACTCGAGTGTGGTGGGGGCACTTGCGCGCGAGATTGTGCCACGGTCGCAGGTGGCGCGCAAGGGCTGTGGCAGGCAGAGCCATGACGTGCTCGCCGGGACAATGGTGTACTTTAAGGTCCTGTTCCTCTCGCCGATCTCAGTGATGCTGACCTACACCGGCAGCGGCAGCGGAGCCGGGGCACAGTACGGACAGAGCTCACAGATCTCGCGGGCGCTGGTCTCACTCGGCGTAACGATGGTCGAGGTGGAGCAAGTGGCGATTGCGCTCAACGCACTGGTTCTGGAACATGTATTCACCTCACAAGACCTCGCCGGTTGTGTGGGCCAGCACTACAGCTCGCAGTTGTACTACCAGCTGTACAAGGTCGTGGGCTCGTTTGCGGTCCTTGGCGATCCGGCTACGCTGCTCGGCGGGCTTGGCTCGGGGGTGCGCGACTTTTTCTTTGAGCCTGCGCGCGGACTCATCCGATCGCCGGCCGAGTTTGCCCGGGGTCTGGGCGCCGGCTCTGCGTCGCTTGTCAAGAACGTTGTGTATGGCGTGTTCAACACAACGTCCAAGGTGACTGGAGCGGTCGGCTCCGGCCTCGGCATGCTCTCGCTCGACGACGAGTGGCGGCGGAATCGCGAGCGATCACAGCGGGCGCGGCCGGCGCACGTGGTGGCCGGCCTGACGTCGGGCGTTCGCGACATGTCGCGCGGCGTGGCGTCGGGCATTGCCGGTCTGGTGGTCCACCCGGTGCAGGGTGCACGGAGCGGTGGCGCACTCGGCCTGCTTCGTGGGCTGGGCAAGGGCGTGGTCGGCGCAGCGGTCAAGCCGGTGACCGGCGTGCTTGACCTTGCAGCGCAGACCTCTCGAGGGATCAAGAACACAACGCGGCTGCTTGAGCGGTCTGTGACGCGCAAGCGGCGACCGCGGCTGGTAGGCATCGACAATGTGGTTCATCGGTACAATGTCGAGGGTGCACGAGTGCAGCTCCTGCTCCATCAACTTGCTCCTGGTGATCGGTATGCGTTCCACGTCCTCATTCGAATTGCCAGCACAAGCAGCGCCGGCGACGGCGAGACGGTTGCCGACGATGCATACTACTGGCTCCTCGCTTCGGAGCACTGGGTCTTTCTCCTCCATCTCCGACGGAACAGGCGACGTAAGCTGCAGAGCAAGGTGGTGTGGCGGATGGCGGTGGCTAAGCTTGGATCGGTCGACGTTGACGATGACGGCGTCTCGTTGGTGGCGCGGTCGGGCAAGGTCCAGCGCGTGGCGTTGCCCGACGAAGCGCAGCGGGCGTCGGTGGTGTCGCGGCTGGTGCGTCTGGTGCCTGTGCGCGGTCTGGCGTAGCAATGAAACACAGCTCAACCGGGGGTACTACGTATACTACAACACAAGTTTACATGCGCGAGAGGTCATCACAGGTCTGTAGCAGGCGATCGAGCTCTTCAAAGACCGACTGGCGCTGGCCATCGAGAACGGAGAGCTCAGCGTTGCGGGCGTCTAGCTCCTCAAGGACCATCGAGTTCTGGGCAGCCAGAGCCTGTGACTCTGCGAGGATCTGTGAGCGCGAATGGCCGGCGAGCTCGACGGAAGACCGGGCCTCGCGGAGTCAGAGAGGATGGCGTCGTTGTCGGCCGAGGTCTGGGTGAGAGCGGAGCGCGAGGAGGCGGCGGCTAGGGTGAGGTCGGCGACGACGGTCTTGGACTCTGCGAGCTGCTTGGAGAGGCGGTCGACAGCGTCGTTCGCCTGGGTCAGGTTGTATGACGCCGACTCGGCAGCAATGGAGAGCGAAGAGAGAAGGCGCTGGATGCCGCCTGTGCGGAGCGCGAGCTCGGCCTGTGCCGGCACTGGGTCAGGCAGAACGGCGTCTGGAGCGAGGAGGGCGAGGACGCGTGGGAGCGCGGCCTCGGTTGCCTCGACGGCGAGGAGAGCGGCACCTGCCTGAGCCTCAGCGGCTCGGGTGCGCTCCTGGGCATCGTGGAGCGAGGAGACGAGGCCCATCTTTTCGGACGAGAGCGTGTCTGCCCAGCGGGTGAGGCGCTCGACCTCGGCCTCGAGCTCGGGAACACGAGCGGCGGTTGCTTGTGTGTCTGCGAGCATCTCCTGCAGCGAGGCGATGCGATCGTTGGCAGCGTCAAGGAGCGAGGAGTGTGCCGAGGCCGAGGCCGAGGTCGAGGCCGCAGTTCTCGGCGAGGGCGAGGGCGGGCGGGCGACGCGGCGCTCGAGTGACTCGACGCGGGCCTTCCAGGCGTCAGCAGCCGGCGAGTCGGGCGGGTGCGAAGGGGCGGCCCGGAGCGCGTTGCGGAGAGCGGTGCAGTCGGCCTGGAGCGCGGCAAGCTCCGCGTCCTTTGCGGCGGCGGCATCGTCTGCAGAGGCAAGACGGGCGCGGAGGAGGGCATGCTTCTTGGTGAGAGCGGCGAGCTCGGCGTGGACGTCATCGAGAGCAGTGGCAGGGACAGAGGGCCGCGCCGCCGAGCTGGCACGGAGAGCGGCGAGCTCAGCCTCGGCCGAGGTAGCGCGCATGATGGCCGACTCTAGCTGTGTGCGGAGCGGCGAGAGGTCGGCGACCTGTGACGAGAGCGAGGATTGCCCGGCTTCGGCGACCGAGAGCGCGGCTTCTGCGCGGGCAAGCGCGGCGTGTGCCGAGGCTGCATCGGCGGCCTTTGCGGCAGCGTCGGCCTTTGCGGCATCGAGCTCTGCGCGTAGCGAGGCAGCATCGTCCTTTGCGGCGCGGAGGGCGGCGGTGGCGAGGGCAACCTCATTTTTCTCGGCAGCCAGCGCCGACTGCTCTGCGCGAAGATCGGCTGAAAGCTGAGCATTGAGGGCACCGAGCTTGGTCTTGTCGTCCTCCACGGAGGCAAGGGAGTGCTTGGCAGCGGCAAGGTCGGCACGGATGGTGGCGAGGTCCCGCTCGTGGGCGGCGGTGGCGGCAACGGCGGCGGCGGCGGCGGCCTCTAGCTGGGCGTTGGCGTCGAGTGCGTCCTCGAGGGCAGCAGCGGCCGACTTGCGCTCAGCAAGGAGGTGCGCGACTCGTGAAGAGGCGGCGGCCTGGGCCGTGTGGGCGGTGGCGAGCTGCGACTTGAGGGTGTGGACGGCGTCATCCATGGGTGAAGCGAGCTGGAGGCACTGCGACTCGAGCGTGGTGAGGGCGGCGAGGGCGGCGGCGAGCTGGTCGTTGGAGGCTTCCAGCTGGTCGCGGAGGTCATCGTTGGCGGCGGATGCGGCGGCGGCGCGGACTGCGGCCGCATCTGCGGCGCCCTGTAGCGCGGTGGTGCGGTCCTTGAACTCGGCGGTGGCGTCGTCGAGCACCGAGGTGAGCTGGGCGGAGAGGTCTGCGATCTTTGCGTCTGCGGCGGCGACGGCGTCTGCGGCAGCGGCATCGCGGGCGGCGGCGGTCTCTTGGGCTTCGGCGAGCTGGAGCTTGGTGGCGGAGAGCTCGTTCTTGATGGACGAGTAGAGGAGCTCAAGCGAGTGGTTGGCCTTCTCCAGCTCAAGGATGGCAAGCTCACGCTTTGCGGCGTCCGAGTCGAGGGCAGCGATGCGAGCGTCCGCGACGGCAAGCGCTTCGTTTGCGGCGGCAAGATCCTTGGCGCGGGAGTCGAGCGCGGCTTGGAGCGGACCGTACATGCGCTTCATCTCTGCAGCATCGGCCACAAGGACAGCGTCGCGGTCTGCGGCGGAGCGGGCGGCCGAGGCGACAGCATCGGCGTCACCGAGCTCGGCTTCAAGGTGGGCGAGTCGGGTCCTTGCGGCCTTGAGCTCTGCAACGAGCGAGTCGTTGGCAGCTCTGGACTCTTTGAGGGCTGCCGAGACCTTGCGTTTGCCACCGGCATACTTGCGGGCGATGGCGATGACCGAGGCGAGCTCTTCGCGGAGCGAGGCGAGCTCGGCCTGGCTGGACTCGAGCTGCGCGACAGCGTCGGCGTGGGCGGTGCCGAGCTGAGCGAGCTGCTGGGTGGTCTCTGCCAGCTCAGCCGAGAGGATAGAGGTTAGTTCGGTACCCGACGCAGTCTCCTCAGCGAGCTCAGCCTGGAGCTGGACCTGGGAAGCGTTGAGCTCGTCGAGCGCCTCCTCGGCGGCCCCGAGCTCGTGGCGGATGTAAGAGTTCCAGGATGCGGTAGCGGTCGAGAGCTTGAGAGCGAGCTCCGCCGACTCGGCGCGGGCCTGGGCAAGCTCGGCCTGCGAGTCTTTGAGCAGAGCGCGGAGCTCGGCAACGACGACATGGTCTGGTGTGGACGGTGCTTGCGCTTGCGCCTGCGGCGGTGGCGGCACAGTAGGCGAGTCTGCGGCGGCCGTGCCGGCGGCGGTTGCAGCGTTGACGCTGGCGGTGGCGTAAGCGAGCTTGACCCGCTCAGTCTCGAGGACCTGGCGCTCCTTGAAGAGATCAGCCTCCGTAGCGGCGAGCTTTGCCTGGAGCTCCTCGTTTGCGGACCACGCCCTTGCCAGCTGCTTGCGCAGGCGATGAAGAGTGGCCTCGTCAGCGACGACACCAGGCGCGGCAGACTCACGGAGCTTGGAGAGTCTCAAAGACGCCGCAGGGCCGACATCTTGCGCATCCTGAGGCAAAGCAGCAAGCTCATCCGAGCGGAGCGAAGCGGAGACACTCACTGCCACAGGAATGTCGATATGATGCTTGCGAAGGAGGCTCTCCAGCAAGTCGATCTTCTCATTGAGCGCATTGACGATGCCGACACCACCATCAAGACCACTGCTGTGGCCTGACATAACCGTCTCTGCATTTGGCGAAGCACTATTTCCAGCCGCGGTCGCTGCTGTAGCCTTTGCCGTTGTTGTTGTTGATGATGACGTTGTTGATGAGGACATGATCAAGTTGTTGTGATTCTCTTTGATCAGCTTCTCGTTCTCCAAAACCAACCGTTGATTCTCTGCCGAGAGCCTTGCATTCTCTTCCTCCAACTCTGCATTCTGAGCCTCCAACAGAGCCACTCTTCCCGCATAACCATCTCTGGCAGACAATGCCACACGAAGCTGTCGTTTGACAACCTCACAATCATGATTATGACAATCACCACCAATACCAGAGCCATTTCCAGAGCCATTTCCGGAGCCATTGCCAGAGCCAGAGCCAGGGCCATTGCCAGAGCCATTGCCAGAGCCAAAGCCATTGCCAGAGCCACCGGTGCTTGCTTTGCCAATGGCCATACGGGAAGATGAAGTCGACGCAAGTCGTTCCAGGACAGACGCCGACATGCCCTCTCCCCTTAGAGTACGTCTATATGTGTGTGTGTCTCTCTGTGTGTGTATGTGTATGTAGAGAGTTGGTGGTGGTGGTGGTAATGGTGGTGATGTGTGTGTGAGGGGAGGGAGGGGGGGAGTGGTGGGGTGGTGACGGTTGGCGCGCACTGTGGTCGGTGGCCACTCGGCGGATTTGGCGCGTCGGGTGGCGACTCGTCGGTTTGGTGTGATTTCAATCCGTGTGTATGTGTGTGTGTGTGTGGGGGGGGGATACTTATGATGGCTGCGATGTGGTGGTCGCTGCCTTCCTCTTTCTCTTTGTCTTAGTCTCTTTGTCTCGGGTTGAACATATCATCTTCTTCTCTCTCTTGTTGCTGCATTTTTGTCTGTTTACACTCGCGGGTGGTATCAGAGCTCCTCGACGTCGATGACCGCATTGAGCATGTCGTGGATGTGACCGGTCTTGGAGTAGAGGCTGTCGAGGAGACGGATCATCGGTTCGCGCTCGCGGAAAAAGGCGCGGAGCCGCGACTGCGAGTCTGAGAGGCAGCGAGCGAGCGCGTCCGGCGCGACGTGGACCCGCCAGGTCTCAACGACAGCCATCAGCGCCTTTTCGATCTCTGTCGCGTACCGCTCCATCTCGACCTGGACCCGAACCACCATCAGCTGGAGCTCGGCGTTCTCCTCGCGGACGTTGACAAAGGCCGCGGCGCGCTCGGCGTTGGCCGATGCAGACTCGGCCTCGCGATGCTGTGATTGGGCGACAGCCGAGTCGGCGGCGGCCCGCGCGGCGTCCAGCTCGTCAAACACTGCCGCGAGCCGGCTCTGCGCCGCATCGAGGGCCTGCTCCAAGGCCTGCACCTCAACCTTGCTGTCGGCCTGGACCCGCGCGAGGTTGACGTGGGCGATGTCGAGGCTCTGCCGCGTCGACTCGAGCTCGGCCCGGGTCTGCGCGAGCTCTTCCTGCAGCGCCACGAATTTGCTTCCGCGGTGGCTGCGCTCGGCGCCAGAGACTTCGGCGGTGTAGGAGAGGTTGGGCGAGTCGGGATCAGCCTCGCTCTCGCTGCCGGTCTCGCTGCTGAGCGGCGGACCCCGGGCAGCCTGCCGCTCCTTGGCCCGGCGCAGCATGTCGCGGACATGATCGAGGTCGTCGCGCAGTTCTGCGTTGAGGACCTTGGCCTCTCGCAGCTCGGCGCGGAGTTGCTCCGTCACCGCAAGCGACTGCGGTGAGTCTGTCGAGGCGGCCAGCGCCTCCCGCAGCTCCACGATGACCGCCTCGAGCTGATTCACGCGGCTCGACTCGTTGGTGGCGAGGGAAGGCGGGTGCAACTCGAGCTCTGCGCGCAGGCTCTCAACAGTTGCCTCCAGCTCGGCCACGTATGTTCCGGCATCCGAGGTCTGCGGCGACTGCTGCGGCTGCAACACAAGCTTTGCGCGCAGGCTCTCGACGGTGGCCTCTAGCTCAGCCACCCGCGCACTACTATCACGGTCGCCATTGTCCTGGACAACGCGGGCAGTGCGGGCTTGGGTGCGGTTCTCGGCACGCAGGATGTCGACCGTCGCCTCGAGGTCGGCCACATATGCTGCGGTCTCCGCGTCGACCGAGGCGTCCAACGCAGCGGCACGGTTCTTGGCGCGGAGCTGAGTGCGGAGCTCGTCGAGCTCGGCTTCGAGTGCAGTTACTTCCTGATCGTGAGCGTCGCGGAGGCGGGCGAGGCGGTCGTCCGAGGCGCGACGGAGCTCAGTCAGCTCGCGGCGGAGCGCGGCGTTGGCTTCGGCGTCATAACTGTCGCCGACAGCCGCAGCTTCCTTGACCCGGCGCAGCTCCTTGGACTTGGACGCCAGCTCGCCGCACGCGGCCTCGTAGTCGAGCGAGAGCGCATCAAGCTCGCGCTGCAGTCGGTCTGCGCGGCGGGAGCTGGCGACCTCGGGCGTGGTCGGCGAGCGGGCAGCCAGATTAGCCTCTACAACATGCTGCGCGGCCGAGAGCGAGGCCTGTTCGGCGGCTACGAGCGCAGCGTTGAGCCGCGCAATCTCGCGATCGCGAGCTGCAAGCTCCGCCTCCATCTCGGTTACCAGTCCGGAAAGGTCCTCGGACGCTGTCGCGGCATCCAGGCGCGCGGTCAGATCAGCAATGCGCCGCTGAGCCGATCGCTCGGCGGCCGCAGCAGCCTCACGGTGCAGCGCCGCATCGGTTTCGACGCTCCGCAGCCGCTCACGGAGCGCCTCGAGGTCGGCGACAGCCTCGGCAGCATCGCGCTGGGCGCGGGCTTTGGCCGCCACCACCTTGGCCTCTGCGGCAGCACAGTCTTCCGATGCAGCAGCAGCGGCAGCGGCCGACTTGCGTGCATCTGACGCCGCATCCAGTGCCTCCTGCTCGGCAGCATCGGCGCGGGCACTGGCCTGGTTGAGCCGCTTGCGTGCAGTGGCGAGGGCGTGGCGGAGGGCATCGGCCTCGTCGCTCGCCGTCTGTGCCTCGTGCTGGGCGTTGGCCAGCCGCTTGGCGTTGGCGGCGGCGTCGCCACGGGCAGTCTCCAGCGCAGCCTGCAGGTCGGCCTGGGTGTCGCGACCGTGGGCCTCGGTGTCGCGCAGCAGTCGCTGCAGCGTGGCAACCTTGCGCTCGAGCTCCTCGGCGGTGGCGCGGAGCGTGGCGTTGTCGACGCCAAGCGTTGCCAGCTTGTCCGCCAGCTCGTCCTTGTCGGCCAGCGCCGCGGCAAGCTCCTTGGCGCCCGGCGGGTCGGCCATCATGGCGTCGAGAATCTCCTGGTTCGAGTTGGCCCGGTCCTTGTAGTCTTGGACCGCCGACCGGAGGGTGAGGCACTCGGACTCGAGCGCGGCAAGGGCGGCGTCGACGTCGGCCTTGGCCTCGGCTGCAGCGCGGGCCTTGGCCTCAGCCTCGTCAGCGGCTTCCCGGAGCGTGTTGTTCTCTGCTAGGAGCGTCGCTTCCATCTTGCCCTGCACCGCACGTGCACTCTCCAGCGCCTTGATCTGAGCGCGCAGCTGCTCCTCAAGCACGCTGTTTTCGTCCTCGAGGTTGGTGAGTGTGCGACCGAGCTCGTTGATCCGGTCTTCGAGCTGCTCGTTTTCAGCAGCGAGCTCGGCGGTCTTGGTCGCGCCCCGCTCAGCGGCGCGGACCTTGCCCTCGAGCACGTCGATGGTCTTGCGCGCAAGATCAAGCTCGTCGCGGAGTGAGCTCACGAGCGCAGCCTGGTTTGCCGACGCCGACGCCTCGACCGATGCGCGCTGGCTCGTGGCCTGCGCAGACTCTGAGAGCGCCGCGTGGGTTGCTGCCAGCTTTCCGCAAGGTCATTGACCGACTCTTGCAGCGACGCGTTACGCCTGGCCTCTTCTGAGAGCTCGACCTCGAGCTCTACGGCTCGGGCAGCAGCAGCCTCGAGACGAGCAGCGCGGGCGTCGGCCTCAGCGGCAGCGGCGGCGGCCGATGCCATCTCGGCCTCGGCCGACGCCAGCGAGGCAAGGGCAGCATCGCGCTCGGCAGCAGCCTCGGCAACGGCGGCACTGTCGGCGAGCGCAGCGTCGCGCTCGGCCCGAAGCCCGAGAACCTGCTCTTCGAGCGCAAGCGCCTTGGCCTCGAGGAGGCGGATCTGATTGGCTGACGCCGACTCGAGCGAGTCCTTGTCGGCTGCGATCTGGCGCAGCTCCGACTCTATGTGGCCGATGAGGTTGGCAGGCGCGGACTGTTGAGTCGCCGCCTCGGGCCCCGAGGCGCGGAGCGCGTCCTTGAGCGACTCGGAGAGCATGGCGTTGGCGGTTCGGACTTCTGAGACAACCGCTTGCGCAACCGCATGCTCGCGGTGTGCGTGTGCGGCGTCGGCCTCGAGCTGCGCGACCTTGACCTCAAGCTCGACGACGCGGCGGGAAGCCTTTTCACGCTCTGCGTGGATGTTGTCGATCTTGGCGGTGACTGTGTCGAGCCGCTTGGCAGCCTGCTGGGCTTGGCTCTCCTCGTGGGCCGCGGCCTGCTCAGCAGCCTGGCGAGCGGCGCGCTCGGCGGCAAGGTCAGCCTGCAGCGAGGCCACTTGCTCCGCCAGCAAATCCTTGGCAGCGCGCGAGCCCGAGTTGGAGCCTTGCTCGAGCGCGAGCTCGCGGTAGGCCTCAACCAACTTTTCCTGCAGCGCCGACGCCTCCGAGCCCGGTGGGAGGGTCGTCGACCGGAGCTGGGTCTCGAGCGCAGACATGGCGTCGCCAAGCTGCGCCACTCGCGCCTCGGTAGCGATGAGCTCAGTCTTGAGACGGGAGTTCTCGTTCTTGAGAGCCGCGGTCGATTCTGTCTCTCGGGCAAACTCGTCTTGGATCTGCTGGGCGTAGGCCTCGACCTGGTCCTGGTACGCGGTGAGTGAGGCTTCGAGCTCGGTGTTCTGATCGGTAAGCCACTGGACTTGCTCCTGAAGCGAAGCAATGGTCTGTGCGGTCTCGGCCGAGTGGGAAGAGGCGTCATGGGCTGCCGACGCCGCATCGGTCTGAAGGGCGGCGACCTGGTCGCGAAGCCCGCGCTCCGACGCCCTGGCGGTGATGAGCTCAGTTTGCAGGTCGGCAGCGCGGGAGGTCTCGGCGCGGACCTTTTCCTCGAGCTCGGCGATGCGCGTCGAGAGCGCGTCGACGGTGGTGCCCGCAGTAGTGACGGCATCGGCGACGGCGGCCATTTGCTGCTCGGCGGCGGCCTCGGCGGCCTCGGCAGCAGCAGTGTTTGCAGCGACCGACGCGAGCTGAGCGTTGGTTTCGACCAGCTGAGCGTGCTCGGCCTCGAGAGACACGTGGTCTGCCTGTAGAGCCTTGAGATCCTCGGCCAGCACCTCGTACTCTTCCAGCGTTGGCCCAGCGCGGGCCGCCGCCAGCTCGCGATGGAGCTCGGCGAGCTCGTTGCGGAGCTGCGAGATCTGCTCCGAGTACTGGAGGGTTTCGGCGATGTGATCTTCCGACTGCTCGCGGAGACGGGCTCGGAGCTTGGCGACCTCGGTTGCATGAGCATCTGCTTCGGGCGACTTGGAGCTTTTGCGTGGCGGATCGGTGACAACCATAGTGATGGGCGCGTCGTTGCGCGGTGCGAGCATGCGGTGCTCAGGGCGGGCAAGAAGATCCTCTGCGGCGGCGGCGCGGTCCTGGGCGGCACGGAGCCGGCGGCGGAGGTCATCAACCTCGTCACGCGACACAGCATAGGCCGCATCGCGCTCTGCAAGCTCTGCGGCTATGGCAGCGAGCTTGCTCGAGTCGCGTGATGCAGCGTCGCGCTCAGCGACGGCAGCGTCGCGCTCGGCAATGGCAGCGTCGCGCTCAGCGGTGAGGGTCTGGATTTCGTCAAGGAGACTCTCGATGGTGGCATGTGTCTCCTCCAGTCGAGTTGAACGAGCCGATGCAGAGCCGGTGTCTGGGGAGAAAGAAGCGGCGGGTGCGGTTGCGGCCGAATCGGTGGGCACAGCAGGTAGCGGCTCAAAGACGGAACCCTTGTCCTCGGACTCGTGGGCCGTGGCGTGGATGGCAGGTCCTCCATCGACGCCAGCGACTCGAGTGAAGAGCGGGCCTGAAGCACGGCTGGTGGCGACACACGCTCGCGGAGAAGAGACTGGTTGCGGGCGACGAGCGCGTCGTGGTCAGCCTTGAGCGCATCGTACTCGGCAATGACCACGGCATCGGCGCTGACCAGAGCATTGTGCTCGGTAACAAGCTCGACGTACCGAAGCTCAAGCTCTTTGAGAGTGCGCTGGGTGTCAGTGAGCGAAGTGACGAGCGAGGCGTGGTCCGGGATGGAGCATGCCGGGGCAGAGACTGGCGACGGCGTCGCAGACGACGCGCGGGCCAGAGCGTCCTCGGCGCGAACGGTCTCGCGAACAAGCGCCTCCTGATCACGGAGCGACATAGTCTCGAGTGCATTGTTTCGGGCGGTGAGCTCGGAGACTTCGTCTTCGAGGGCACGGACGCGGACAGCAAGCTCGGCCTTTTCGGTGAGCGCTGACTCGAGGGTGGCGAGGAGTGCCGACGACGACTCTGGCGCGACCTTGGCGCTCACGAGTGCATCGCGCTCGGCGGCAAGCACAGCGGCCTGCTCCTTGGTCTGGCGGAGCTCGTCGCGGAGCTGCGAGGTAGTCGGCGACGCTGGGCGGTCGGAGTCGCTGTTGTCCGCGCGGGTGGCGGCAATGATGGCGCGGAGCTCGGCAATCTCGACCCGCTGCGAGTCGACCATCTCTTGGAGCGTGTCCTCGCGGGCGCGACCGGCCTGGCGAGTCTCTTCGAGCTTGGAGGTCACAAGCTCGAGATCGGCCTCAAGGTTGTCCATTTGCGACAGCGCGTGGTCAAGCTTAGTTTTGGCTTGCTCGCCTTCGAGCACAAACACCGTGAGCTGCGAGTTGTCGCGTGTGAGCTCCTCGTTGAGAGTGGTGAGTTGGGAGATCTCGTTCTCGAGCGCGGCGAGTGTTGCTGCAGTCGACGATGCCTCGGCGGCCGCGTCGGTAAGTGCCGTCTCATAGCGGGCACGGGTGGCATCCCGGTCGGCGGTAGCCTGGGCGACAGCGGCGGAGGCGGCGTCGAGTTTGGCCGCAAGTGTGTCCCGCTCGCGCAGCTGCTCGGTCTGCCGCTTGATCTCGGCGGCCAACTCGGCGCGCTCGGCCAGGGCGACGGCCAGCTGGTCCTCGAGAGACGCCACATGGTCCTGCAGGGCTGACGCCTGACCCACGCTGGACGCCCGGGTCTGTTCAAGCGTGGCCTGCAGCGTGGCCAGGTCGGCCTCGAGGCTCTCGCGCTCTGCTTCGGACGCGGCGAGCTTAGCGCCGACGTCGGCGAGAGCGGCGTCGTCGGCCTCGACCCGGGCCGAGGCCTCGGAGCCGGCCGAACGGGCGGCCGCCAGCTCGGCACGGAGCGTCTGAGCCTCGGTCTTCAGCGCGGCAGCCTCGTCACGGAGCTGGAAGACCTCGTCGTCGGCCTTGGCCAGGAGCTCCTCCAGAACCTGGACCTTTCGGGCATGCGCATAGCCCGGAGCTGACTCTGGGCCGTCGTTGGCCGGCGGCTGCGACGCGGGGGGCAGTGCGTCAATCGACTCTTCTGCCGAGCGAAGCACGTCCTCGCCGTGCTTGCTGGCGAGCCGCGAGCGCTCTTCGGCGGACGACACGTACTCGTCGACAACCTCTGCCAGCATGATGCGGGTCTTTGTCAACTCGACCTGCAGCAGCTTTGCGCGAGTGGCCTCGTACCGCGCAGCCTCTTGAGCCTCGAGCACTTGACACTGAGCCTCCTTGCGACGATCGACCTCTGCAGCATACTGAGCGATGACCTGCTCCAGCGAGCGGTTAGCACGGACGAGTTCATCACGGACGTTGCGCTGAGTGGTCGAGGCAGAGGCAGAGGCAGATGAGTTCAAAGATAGATGCTGACGAGGCATTGACGACGAGTAAGCTGCAGATGAAGCATGTGGCAACGTAGCCGAAGCCTCCATCGAGTCTGACCATAGTTGACGAGAGAGGTCCATACCTCCACTGTGACCATGACCACGACCATGATCTCGTTCTGTCTTGTTGTCTGACTAGAGTCTGGCCATGGTTGCGGAGGCTGTGGAGAGGCGTGAGTGGAGAGGTCGAAGCGGGACGTCCGTCCAGAATGTGACATAGCAAAGGTGTGTGTGTGTGTGTGTGTGTGTGTGTGTGTGTGTGTGTGTGTGTGTGTGGTGGTGGTAGTGGTGGTGGTAGTGGTGGTGGTGAGGTGTGTGTGGTTGTGGTTGTGGGTGTGGTTGTGGTTGGCGTGGCGGGTGTCTGTGGTGGCGCCAAACGGCGGCATGCGCTTTCAGTTGGGAGGATGACCGACATGACGGGAGTCTTGCATCGGAGGCGTGGTGATGGTAGCCATGGCATAGGGGAGGGATGATATGGGGAAGGAGGGGGAGGGGAATGTTATCGACATGATATAGTGGTGGGATCTGGGACAAGGAGTGGGATAGGGGGAGGGGGTGGGGTGGGCTTGCCATCATCGTTTTGCCGTGGCGTAGATAGTCGGTGTTACCCACGTGGACATTAGACCAAGCTGCGAAGCCGGCAGGATTCAAGGATACTCATCAAGACATAAGTGGCCCAGCGTTTCTGTCTCGTGGTACCCCCCTGCTATCCCTCATATCGAGATCACAGTCATATTGACTGGCAATCATACTTATCGATTGTTCGAGGTCTCCTCCCACGCGCACACCAACGAGGAACCACCGACCGAGCTGCTCCTGTATCCGCAGCTACCGACTTTGAACACCATCTCACTCTCATCCAACCCACACCACGACCAGCTTATCTCTCTATCACCAAGCCCATCATTCGTCCCTCTTGTTCAGAAACGGTCTCTCTTGTTACGCGAGTCTATGGCTAGGAGTATCGGCCGAGTGCAAATGCGGGAGATGGGCGGCAGTTCGTCGGCGTGGGTCATTAAGAACGTTCCACTGATGATGGTGATGACGAGCAGTATGATGATGACTATGATGGTGATGTTGATGATGATGGGCAATGATGTTGCAAGAGTATCTGCTGCTACTTGCTCAACGTATAATGTGCCAGACTCGGATGTTGTGGTGGATGTGGGTGATCATCATGATGGCCATTTGCTCGCGGTGGGCGACTTCAATGATGATTCCTACATGGACATTGTGTGGTGCAATTCGAATACCTCCATGCCCTTGCTGGGCGAACTCTACATCGGTGGCCCGGGCTTGTCTTTTACCCGGTCTATGCTCATGTCGTCACCCTGCTTGCTTCCAGTCTCGGCTGACTTTAATGGTGATGGTGTGCTGGACGTCGTCATCTCATCGCCCGGCGTCATTTCGGTCTTCCTCGCTCCAGGATCGGTCGGAAGCTGGGATCCGCCGCTGGGCAGTACGTCAGGGCATATTGCTGGCGCGGCAACTGCCTCAGAGTCTATTCTGACGGTCGACATGGACCTCGACGGGGATCTGGACCTGATTGTGGCCGACCCGACCGACGCCCTGGTGATTTGGTACGCAAACGATGCGGGAGACGGCACGACGTGGTCGCCCAACGTCATTGTGCCGCCGATTCTGGGTGTTGCACCGCTAGGCATGGCATGGGCAGACCTCAACAATGACGGGTTTCCGGACGTGGTGGCCTCGCTGGCACTCTCGCAGGTTGTGGCCATTGTGCTAAGCCCGGGCTCTACGTCATACACCGCCGCCGACGTGCGGATGTTTCCGACAGCGTACGCAGCACGCGGGCTGGCGCTCATCGACTTGGATGCCGACGGTGATCTGGATCTGGTGGTAGCGCCCGGCTCGATCAAGACCGAGTTGGCCATTGCATACCACGAGAACACCGGCAACGGCGTGTTTTCGTCGGTCATCCTCACCTCGCCGGCCAACGGCCGCCAGGTTGGCATGGTCCTGCCGTTTGACGCCGACGGCAACGGCGTTGACGACGTCATTTCGTGCGAGGTCGACGCCTTTCCTGTTCTCTACTCCAAAATCTCCCTTGTTGAGGGCACTCCGGTCACGGGGCCTTTCCTGCGCGAAGCGTTTTACACAGCGCGGCGCGCCGAGAACGTGGCCGCGGGCGATGCCAACTCGGACGGCTTCACGGACCTCATATTTGCGGCGTTTGGCGTCAGCGGCGAGCCAACGATCCGAGTTGTCGAACTCCTGCCTGTCGCTCCGTTCTCGCAGCTGCCGGTTGAGGTTGCGCTTGACAATGCCGTCTCGCGTGTCTCGATGTGGGCACTAGGCGATTTGGACGGCGACGGCGATGTTGACGTTGTTGTTGGTGACGCAGTCGCCGGCGTGATCACCTGGGCTGTTGCCGACGCGTCGGGCGGCTTGGCAGCAGCAGCAGCGCCTCTGGCTACGTTTGTGCCGGGCACGATTGTGAGCGTTGCAGTGGCAGACATGACCGGCGACGCAGCGCTCGACATTGTGGCTTGCCTCGCCGATGGCAACGTCACGTTTGTGGTCTCAGAAGGCCGCGGGCAGTTTGGCGCTGCAGCGCGCGCCGCGAGCGATGTCCTTGGCTCGGGCGCTGTGCCGAACGCCATGATCCTCGCCAACCTCAACGGTGACGACATGGTGGACGTGCTCGCGTGGAACGCGGCTCGCATCGGCGTGGCACTCAACGATGGGAGCGGCAACTTGCTTACGCCGCAGCTGCTGCCGGCGGCCACCGGCACCATCGCACACGTCTGTGTCGCCGACGTTGACAGTGACGGCGACGACGACGTTGTCTTTGCCGATGCAGCAGGAGGTACTATTTACGCTGCGGCACAGACGAGCCCTGGCGTGTTTGCGGCGACGGCATCAGCTCTGGTCACCGGCGAAGCTGGTGTGGCGTTTGTGGCGCTCGCTCACATCAATGGCGACGACGCGCTCGACCTGGTGTGGCACGCCGCGGGCGCGAGCTTTTCCTGGTCGGCCAACGTAGCCGGAGCGTTCCCCGGCCCTGTTTCGAGTCACGCGACGCCGAGCCCTGTGGTCTCACTCGCACTCCACGACGAGACCGGCGAACGGCGGAGTCATGTGGTTGTCTCGCTAGCGACGGCAGCGTACTGGTGGATCAACGCGCCGCGAACAGGGCTTGGTGCCAGCATCCATGTCGTGGCGCAGGGCCTGACGAGTGTCCACAGTGGACGGGCGCACGATGTCAACGGCGATGGCGTGAGCGATGTCATGTTTGTGGACGACAACACGCTGTACCACGTGAGCGTAGCACGGCTGGAGGTGGGCGCCGGGCGCAACGCGGCGAACGTGCTCTCGTTTGACCACGCCGAGTGCGGCGGCGTGGTCTCGAGTGTCGCTTGCCTCTCTGCGGCGCTGGCGCGGACGTCTGGGTGTGTGGGAGTGACTCGGCGCTGGCTCCAGGTCCCGGCGCGGGTGACGGCGCCGTTTACCCGATGCCACACGACGCACGGACCGCTGCGGGTCCGCGGCTCGTTCAATATGAGGCTTGCACCGGGCCATCCCGGCGGAATGGCGATCGACTGCGGCCAGAGCGGCGGGCAACTGTTTGTCATCAGCGCCGGCGTCCGGGCTGTGGTGGCCGGCATTGACATCCGCGGCATGCGATCGTCGACCTTGCCCGACATCAAGGAAGGGTCGACCGGGATTCGAGTCGAGGGCTTGGGCGCCCACCTCGAGTTGCACAATCTTGAGGTGAGAGGGTGCTCGTCTGCAGACGCGTTGACCTTTCACGCGCACTCTGGGATCGGCGGCGCTGTGGCGGTTGTCGATGGTGGCTCGTTTGTGGCCTCGGGTGTTGTCTTTCGCGACAACACCGCCGGCGCGGCCGGCGGAGCTGTTGGGGCCCAGGGTGGCAGCGTCAAGCTCACGTTTACAGACGTGCTCTTTGCGAGCAACGTCGTGGCCGACACAGTCGGCGTTCAAGAGGGCGGCGGCGCAGTGTCGATCTTGGACGGCTCGTCGATGGTTGTGGCCATGACCAACGTCACCTTTTCCGGTAACTCGGTGGCTACCGGCTCGGGAGGGTGCCTTGAAGTGGCGGCGCTGACGACACGTGTGGTCATGCACAACGTCGAGTTTGATGGCTGCAGCGCGAGCAATGGTGGCGGCGGAGCAGTGTCGATTGTGGGCCCATCGACGCTGGTGGTGACACTGTCGGGCACCTTGTCGCGGATTGTCAACTCGACGGCAGCGTACGGCGGCGGAGTGGCGGTGGCGACCAAGGACGTGCTGCCACAGACTCTGGGCGGGTCCGGCATCGCCACCGAGGTCGGCACGCTTGGGGCGTCGTTCACCATGAGCGACGGTACGTTTGGCGACAGGCTCTCGGCCATGTACGGCGGTGCAGCGTTTGTGTGCAACGGAGTGCTCGACTTGCAGCAGGCGATCCTGACGGGGGCATCGAGGGCGGAAAACGCAGGCGGGTTTTGTTTCTTTTGCTCGATCTACGAGTCTAGGTGGCTGGTTGTCGGCAGCGAGGCCGGGCACACAGCGACTGTGACGCGGGGGTTCAACGCGCGGCTGGCGACGCCGCCGACCGCGGCGCACTGGATAACTGCGCTGCCGAGCAGTGCGATGTCCGGACTGGCGTTTGGCAGTGGAGCCGTGGCGTTCACCGACAGCTTTGGTAACCCGGTGCTCGATCCGCTAACCAAGGCATCACTGTCTGTGACCAACGGCGGCTCGTTTGTGGTCAACGAGCTCCTGGCCGGGAGCGCGTTTTCGGCGGCGCTTGGCGGCATGTCGCTGGCCGACGGCGCGGTGGCGGCACGGAGCGCAGCCGATCTGGGAACAGACGCAATGTTGCGGGTCGGGGTCTTTCTCGGCACCAACCCGAGTGTGTATGTGGACGGAAGGGTGCGGATTGGGGCATGTGAGGCGGGCTATGGCGCGACGGCAACGTTCCCTGACCCGCTGGTGTGCTCGATCTGCCTCGGCCTTACGTTTTCGAACGAGACTTCGGCGGCGGCATGCCAGCCCGAGGTGACCTGTGGTGGCGACGCGGTGGCAATCAATGGAGTGTGTCAGGTGTGTCCGGCCGGGACCGACCGGTTGTACGACGAAGCGCGCGTGCCGGGAGCATGCGAGTGCCGTGACGGATATTGGACGCCGCTACAGCGCCAGGACGTGGCGTGCGCGGCGTGTCCGGACGGGGCAAGTTGCCCAGGTGGGGTGGAACTGCCTGTGGCGCGTGAAGGCTGGTTCCCGACGGGCGCTGTGACGGACGGGGCGTTCCACAAGTGTGTGATCAAGGAAGCGTGTTTGGCCGGCGGCGTGTGCAGCGGCGGGTATCTGGATGGCAGCTACATGTGCAAGGACTGCGCAGAGGGATACTTTCGCAACTCACTTGGCGGGTGCTCGAGCTGCCCGACCGGCTCGTCGAACCTTGTTTTTGTCCTCTTTGGCAGTGTGGTTGCTGGCGCGGTGGCTGCTGTCCTGCTCGCGTGGTGGACGTATCGGCAGTTTGTGGCGAGCGAGAGCACGATGGCGTCGACGCTCGAGGGCGATGGCGCGGGCGAAGCGACGACGTTTGGCAAGCGGACCAAGGTTGTTCCGCACTCGCTCTCTGTCCTCCTTATCTACCTGCAGATCATCAACATTGTGGGCTCTGCACCGTTCAACTGGCCGCCGCTTCTGGAGAAGACGATGCTGTACTCGCGAGTTGCCAACGTGGACATGTCGCTGTTTGCGACCGGATGCAGCATTTCCTCGTTCTACTCGCGGTATGTGATGGGCGTTCTGCTCCCACTGCTGTTTTTTGTGGTGACGGTTGTGCTTGTGGTCATGTTCCGGATCTGCGGGTGTCTCGCGACGCCGGTGACAATGGAGCCTATCTCGACGTGGGCAGTGGTGGGCCGGCTGGTGTTTACGGTTGGCCCGCTCTTCTACATCCCGCTCTGCTCGTCGACACTGATCTTCTTTGACTGCACGCTCCTCCCAAACGGCGGGTGGTACCTAGACGCCGATCTGGAGACGGCTTGCTTTGACGCCGAGTGGTGGCAGTATATGCCGGTAGCGGCCGGGGCGGTGGTGGCGTATGTGGTGGCGATGCCGACACTGTTTGCGGTGACGCTTGTGCGGCATCGGGCGGAGCTCGACGACCCGCGGACGATTCTCAAGCTCGGGCCGATTTACAACCTGTACCGGCGACACTACTACTACTACGAGCTTGTGCTGCTGGGAAAGCGGCTGGCGATTGTCTCTGCCGCACTGTTCTTCTCGAATCTGGAGGTGTGGCTCTTCCTCGCGCTGGCGAGCATTTTCCTCTCCTCGCTCATGTTCCAGATCCGGCACGATCCGTTCTACCAGCCGCTGCACAACCGGGTCGAGTCGTTCCTCAACGCTACAGTAACGACGCTCATCTTTTTGGGCATGATGTTCTGGGCGGACGACTTTCCGAACCACGAGTCGTACAGTGTGGTGCTTGTGATCTCGATGGTGATGCTTGTGGCGTCGGTGGTGTTTGTGGCGACGATGGCGGTGCAGGAGGTGATCAACACGCACCACGTGTCGGCGGCCGTCCGCGACCGCGACTCGGCGGTGCTTGGAACTCAAGATGCGGTCTTTGTCGATCTTGTCAAGCGGTACGCGCCGGATCTCGAGAACGTGCAGCTTGCAGCGGCAGTCAGTGAGGCCGTCGACAGTCGTAGTCTGACACGCGGCGGCTCGTCCTCGATTTACGGCGGATGGGGCCCGCCCACAACTTCGCCCACAACTGCGCCAGGTGAGCGGGGGGCAATGCCGACATCCGAACCAGGCGCAGCAGTAGCCGCGCGCAGTGGAGGCGGACTCAAGCGCCGATCGCAAGCCGCCAGCACTACCCGCAGCAACAACGCCAGTCATCGTGGACGTGCATCGCAGACCTGGACTGGCACCAGTCGGTTTGGCGCGTTCTCGTCTTCATCGCCTGTATCAAGCAGTGACGATGAGTATGACGACGATGATGCTAGTGGCTCGCGATCGGGAGGCATTGCACTGTCTACGTTGAATTGATTGAACACAATCGTCACAATGGAGAGTTGGCTTGGGTCGCGGTCTTGTCCCGCCGGCGTGCCGTCGCTCGACTGTACTGCGGCCGCGCCACACGCGACTCGCGCAACAGCGGCGAGATTGCGAGGGTGGCCGACTTGGAGCCAGATTCGAGGTCATGGGCAGAGTGCGGCATGTATGTAGCGTAGCGTGGGTAGTGTGGGTTGCTCTGAGTGTGATGACCTTGGCGGTGTGTTGGCGGGGAGCGAGGCAGCAAGGACGGGCAAGGTGATGAAGAGGCAGAACGATGACATGAGCGGGATTGTGGCTGATCAAAGCAGTCGAGGTGGTGGAATGGGTCATGGTCTGGCCGGAGATGAAAGAGGAGGTGGCGATGCGAGGCGGCAAGTGCTAGCAGCAGAGGCAACTGAAGCTGGGGCGGCGTTGGCAAAGGCAGTGGCGGATGGGAAGGAGTGGAACCATCACACGATTGGGTGCGGCAAGGTGCGGACGGGGCTGTTTGATGCCGTGGTGTGCTTTGAAAAGAGATATGCGGAGCTGTCGCGCGATGTGGCAAGTCCGATCGAGCTGGCGTTTACCGTTGTCGAGCGAGTGTTTGCCAAGAGCGAAGACGTGCCGCATGTAGAGAAGGATCAGCCGGGAAGCAAGCCGTACACATGCGGCGATTCGTGGGCGATGCGGTGGGAGCATGCCGGAACTGGAGCGTCGTTTGCGCCAGTCTCGATCACGGCCGACGCAAAGAACTGCGATCGGTACGTGGTGAAGATGTACTTGCCGCCGCTCGCCGGGTCGTACGGACTCGACATGCGGCTGCTTCACGTCGACGGGAGCGGGATGGCAGATCCACGGCCGGATGAGATGGAGCGGCTCGCGTTTCCGAATCCCGAGGCGCTGCCCGAGGCCGGGCCGTTTGGCTTTAACGTGAAGCTGGAGACGATTGACGACGATTCGCCGCTGGGGCTTCTCCATGTGATGGCGTGGGAGGGATGGGAGGCGCGGAGCCGCGACGACCCGGTCTGCACGGGCGCGCGTGGCTTTCGCGAGAACGAGCGGTTCGGATGGTGGCTGCCGCCAATCGACGGCGAGACGCCGGACTTTCCGCGGCTCGGGCTGCAGTACTATCACGTGAATGGCTGTCCCGTAGGGCGGACAGCATCGACTGAGTTTAGCAAGTGCATGGCGGACACGGCGCTTGATGTACTCGGCGAGTCGATTGGTGGGCATGTGGCGAACCTGGCGCTCCAGCACGTGGTCTCGCTCGAGGTGGACAAGCTAGAGCGTGGCGAGCAGCGCGGAGTCGGGATCGGACGGTACCACCAGCATCCGTCGATGATGACGCGGGCGGATCCGCTGTTTGCCGGGCGAAACCCGCCGCCCGGTGAGGCTGGCGGGTGCCGGCGGTTCTCTGGGCATGGGCTGATGGTGACGGAGCCGATGGTGCTCCGGGGCCAAGTCCCGCGCGACGAGGCCGAGTTTTTGGCTGTGATCATGGGCGCGAACGACGCGATGCGAGAGACGCTCGAGATCTGGGAGCAACGGTGGACGACGCTGCTCGACAAGCTGGAGGAGCGCGGATGGGGAGGGACGCTGGTGCTGTTCACGACGCCGGTGCGGCGGTACAAGGCGACAGCCGAGGGCGACGCGTCAATCCGAGCCGGCAAGAAGGACAAGTACGATGTGGAGATATTTGGTGGCCGGCTCCTCGGTGCCGACGCCGAGATGCAGCACGAGGAGCGGCCACTTGGCAGGGTGGCGGCTGAGTCTGCGGTCGGGAGTGGATTCCGCGTCCGCGACCGGGCGCGGCACACGTCGAGCTCGCCGCGGTCTTCCACGCCGCGGTTTTACAACACATATCCGCGGGTCAAGGCCTTTTCCCAGCGGGCGATCGATATTGTCAGCAGTCGGTTGCCCGAGTCGAGACGGGCACTCGTCGACTTTGAGGCGATCACTGATGGCCTCCATCCTGACTACTGCCGCGATGGTGTCCACTACTGCGCGTTTTCCGAGTCGCTCTGGCCGTATCTCGCCAACAATCAGCACTGGCCACACTGTGGACCGACACATGCTGCCGCCGATTTGCTCTTTACTCGTGTTTGTGGCCTGCGATCGAAGTAAATGGGCCAGGAGACGCTTGTCGTAGGGGTGGGGAGGGCACTCGCATGTGCGAGTTGAGCCCAGACTGACCGATGACGGGTGAGGCATCGCACTCTTCTCTCACATGTCGATCAACGCAGGAGTCGAGGGAGAGGACGGATACTACAAGGGCGCGGGAGGCAAGGATGAGGGTTACGCAGGGGTTGATGGTGGCGGCGTTGGTGGGGACGGTCGATTGGGCTCGGGACGGAATGCAAGGCGCGGGAGCGGTGGACGTCGGTGGTTGAGCAACTGCTTCCGATCGGTGCCGTATGCGTCGTTGCTTGCGGTGATGATGGCAGCTTCGGGGTTGTCTGCGGCATGGCATGGATGGAAGCGGTTTCATGATCAGCTGGATGAGTATCTGACTGTTGATGAGATCCACAAGTACGAGCATTGGTTCTACGTTGCGGTCACGATCCCGTTCCTCTTTGATCTTCTGGCGCTGGTGGTAGCTCTCTCGGGAACAGGCGCCATCCAAGAGGCATGCTGCGCCAAGCGAGGCTGCTGTACCCGAATGGTGGGCAAGGTCTTGGCGGCGCTCATGTCGCTGGTCTCGTATGGGCTCGTCTTTTGCTTTGTGGCGCTCTTTTCGGCCTTTGTCTCGCTGTGGGGCTTCAAGAAGCTCTTCGACTACGCCTGCGACGAAGTCGACTCGTTCTCCGAGTCCACCTGCATCGATCTCTCGCAGTTTGGGCTCGGCAACAAGATGTGTGGACCTAACTTTCGCGCCTTTTGTGTCGACTTGCGCGAGATGAACCCGAATCTGGTCTCGATCTTCTCGGGCCTGCTCCTCATCATCGCGGCGCAAGTCAACGTTGTCGTCATTCACTGCGTCAACTACAACCGCATCCGCGATCGAGTGAACCGGTCGCGGTCAGCGCGAGTGTGGCGTGAAGAGTACTACGCCATGGCGCCAGAGGATCGGCCGCTGCTGCGGCGGTAAAGGCGTCAACCCATGACGTTGAGGCTGGTGGAGACACCGCGGTCGGACGAGACCGGCGAGGCCGAGCGCTCGCGGATGCGGACACGGACCTTTTTCTTGGAGCGGCGGCGCTGCGGTGAGGCTGCCGACGGCGGGGCACGACCGCCACCCTGCTGCGGTGCTGTCGGGCGGGCTGCGGGCTGAGAGGCCGGCTGTGGGTCGGGCGGGAGTGGGCGGCTCGGCGACAAGCTCGAGCGGCGGGTACGGCGGCGGTCGCGGTGGCGGTGGCGGTCGCGAACAGGCTCGTCGTGACGGGCAGACGATGTGGGCGACGCAACCGGGGAGCGCATGGCATGCGGGCGTGTGGTGGGGCCGCGGCGCGACGACGACGCATGGCGCATGGGCGAGAACGGGGCGGCGCGGAGGCCGGTGCCCAGCGCGGGGGTAAAGCTGACAGAGGAGCCGAGCGATGACGGCTCAGGGACCCGCGGCGCCGAGTGCGGGGCACGGAGCGGTGACGGCCGCAGTGACGGCGCAATGGGCGGCGAGGTCAGCCCCTGCGAGGGCAGCGAGTCGTGGTGGAGCGAGACGTGGAAGGCAGTGGCGCGCTGCAGCTCCTGCTGCTGGAGCCAGGCGCGTTGCGGCGCGCGGGCGGCGGCAAGCTCAGCACGCAGCTTTTCGATGAGCATTTGCTGCTGCTCGACAATGGCGACGAGGGCCTCAACGTCGGCGGTGTGGACGTCGATGCCACGGGCGGCCGGCGAGTCGTCGGTTGTTTCCCGCGGGCGCGGCGAGGCATCAGCGACCTGCGCAGCGAGCGCCTCCATTCGAAGGAGCATGGCGGCGTGCTCGCTACGAAGGCGGGCGACCTCGTTGCCTAGGCTGTTGTTCTCCGGAGCAGCAGTGCTCTGTGAGGACGCGAGGCGCGGGGTGGAGCGGGCGTGGCGCGACGGTGACGGCGGGTGCTGAGCTGGCGACGGTGCATGGAGCCAGCCATCGTCGTCCTGCTCCAGCATGGGCGAGTGTGGGTCGAGGAGCGGGCGAGCAGCCTGGTTGAGGCTCCCATCGTGGGCACGGACGTCAGCCATGGACGGCGGCGGGGTGGATGCGTGGCCGAGCAGCGCACTGCGTCGGGCACGAGCATCGGCGGCGTCCTCCGGCGACGCATGGCGACGATCATCTCTTGGAACCGAGGCCAGAAGTGAGCGTGCGCGAGCAACCACATCATCCACGTCCGTCCTAGAGTCTGATGAGCGAGTTGATTGCGGACGCTGCGCGGCGAGAGGCTGGGCTTGCGGTTGGTTGCGAGGAGGCGTGGCTGTGCTTGAGCTGGGCGAGCTGGCAGCAAAGTGAAGAGAGGGGACGACCGAGTTGGATGACGGCGAGTACGACCCGTACCGCTGCATGGCGGTCTGAATGCGTTGTGAGAGGGAGTGTGGCATGGTCGCGGAGGGGAGGTGGAGTGGTGGGGGGGGGCGAGCGAACATTCTCGCGCGGAACAACGATTTCCAACGAATGATAATTGATGGTCAAAATGTGTGATTGTTGGCATGCGTAGCATGGTCAGTCGGTCGGGCTGTCGGGGGCGAGGGGTGGGCGGGCGGGCAGGGCGGGCGGGCGGCTCCTGGTAGGGCGGCAGAGAAGAAGGGCAGGAACAGTCACCCTCTCTCGCACTCGCAGGTGTGTGGAACGTGACCAAGACAGACTTGACTAGGGCCAGAGTAGGAGTAGCAATGGCAGCACTGTCGTGGTTCCGGCGTGGGAGCAAGTTGCCTGCGGTGAAGGACGTAGTCAAGGCATGGGGAGAGTACATGGAGGTCCGTGGGAGTGGGGCTGGTGAGGCGACGGAAGAAGACGAGGAAGGTCCCGAGGCTGTGCTGGAGAAGGTCCTCAATGGTCTCCGTGCTCTGGCTTGTGGCGGTATTGAAGACTTGGTCCCTTCGGACGAGGTCGCTCTGGAAATGGCTGAGGAGGTGGTCAAGCACGACATGATGGTGGCCATCATGCGCGACCTGCCCGAGGTCTCCATCGAGAACAAAAGAGATTCACCTTTGTCTTCAACAACATGCTCTCGTCGGCGCTTGTCGGTCCGCTCATGCAATCGTACATCAACGCGCTCTCCAAGGACGACAAGAACGAGCTGCTGGACCTCGCTGTGACTGGCTACGGCCACTCGCCGCAGATGGCCGTTCTCTCCGGCTCGATGCTCCGCACCGCCATCACCACCCGCGAGTTTGCCGCCTACCTCCTCAACAACGCGCTCAACGACATCTTTGCCCACCTCCAGTCGCGCAACTTTGAGGTCTCGTCCGACGCGTGGGCCACGTTTAAGATGATGCTCACCCAGCACAAGGAGCTGACGGACGAGTACCTTAACGTCCACTACGACGAGTTTTTCCCGGCCTTTATGACGCTGCTCAACCCAGACGGCGATGGGTACACCGCGTGCCGTGAGGCGCTCTCGCTCCTCGCCGACCTCATCTGCTACTCGGGCCCGGCCGAGTACCGCGTCCGCTTTATTTCCGAAGCCAAGCACCTCATTTGCATGCTCAACCTCCTCAACCACGAGTCGCGCATCATCAAGCTCCTCACCTTCCACGTCTTCAAGGTCTTTGTCGCCGCCCCGGCCAAGTCGCGCCAGGTCCACAAGGTCCTCGTCCGCAACCGCGACGAGCTGCTCAAGTTCTTTGAGAACTTTTTCCCGGACTCGGACTCGGCCGAGTTCACCAAGGACAAGGCGTACGTCATCGAGCAGATCGCGTCAGTCGACAACGACGCCGGCATGCTCTCCACCTCGGACCCATCGGTCAACACCGCCGCCGCCGCCGCTGCCGCTGGCCGCCGGACGCCGCCCCGCGACGCCGGTTCAGGCGGCGACGACGCCGGCGCAGGCTCGGCTTCGGCCTCGGCCTCGACCTCGGCCTCGGCTGGCTCGTCGTCGGGCAAGGAGCAAGTCGCGCCGCAAGCGCCGCCGCCGCAGAGTCGTCGCCGGCGCTGACCTCTCGGCTGGCGGCTCCGAGGCCTCGCTCCCAGCGACATCGGCGTCGGGCGACGAGACCGGCGGCAGGGTCCGGCGCCGCACACGCTCGCGGTCCAAGGCCAAGACCAAGGCCAAGGACGACGCCGCCGGTGATGACGCCGCCGCCACCAAGCCGCGCTCAAAGTCCAAGTCCCAGCTCAAGGTCAAGAGCAAGACTCGCTCCGACTCCAAGTCCAAGGCCAAGACGACCGCGGCCGATGGAGGTGGCGACGACGACGACGACGGCGAGTCGGACTCGTTCTCGTTCTACTCGTCGTCGTTTGACTCGTAGTTGCTCGTAAAGAAAAACAGCATGTACAGCGATTGTGGACGGTGAGAATTGGAGATCAGAAACGTGCGCGAAGCTGGCTATCGGTCACGGGGGCTGACCCTCGCCACGGACAAGATCACGACGGACAGCATCCACTCTCCTCCCACCCGCATAGAGTGGTTGCTATGCCCGGACCTGTCGAGCTCGGCAAAGACACCAAGGGCAGCTTCTGGCTCCACGATGCCTTCAACCACGTTGTGGCCTATGCTAGCTCACCCGGCTCGTTCACAGCGTCCCGGGCCTGGTCTTGTAGTCATCATCAGCAACCATCGCAACCAAGTTCGAGTTCAGCCGTCTCCCTTGCTCAGCCGCTGCGTATTGAGAACGAGTCCGGAAGTATACCGGCGCTGCGTAGTGAGGTTGGGCAACGACCGAGGGAGTTGCGACCAAGCGAAGCGAGGTCTTGCTATCGAGCGGAGCGAGGTCTGGGAAGATGAGAGACGACGACAGGCGACCAACAATCAACGGGGGCAGATGACGATGAAGACAACACCTCGCACCGGGCCAACAGTAACTGCGTCATTGTACTCGCTATCGCTCTTCCGCTTCCCCTTCTGATTTCGATCTTGCGCCCTCATCCTCGACCGTAGCCTCGACATCGGCCTGCCCGCTCGCTCGCTTGGGCTGTCGCTCGCTAAGGCCCGCCCGGCAGCGATCCGGTGCCGATGGTAATCCACAGCAGCTGGCTTGCTCGCGATGTATGGTTCGTTCATCCCTCCCCCTTGTTACATCCCTCTCTTCCACCCTTTCTCTCCTCAGCAGTCGCAGCTTCGGCCTCAGCCACGGTCACCGCCTCGGGTCTTCATCCGCCATCGCAACCATGAACGCCGCCGCCTCAATCATCACTCCCATCGCCAGCCATTGCCATCCCCCATCCCCATCACTATCCTCAGCATCAGCATCAGCCTTACTACCAACCTGGTCATCGCTGCCTCGGGCTTGGGCTTCCTCTTCTCCCGCAGCAGCAGCATCAGCACGGCCCTCATGCCGGCGAGTGGCTGAGCGACGAGTGGCTGGCCGTGACTCGATCGCTCGCTGCTCGCCTCGGCCTCGGCCACAGCAGCAGCGCTAGCTGTGGCAGCCGCCACACTCATCCCACTCCAGCCATCTATAACCCCTCACCTCCATTCCCTGTGATCACACCAGCCAGTCCCCCTGTATAGCCAGCTGCAGGTTGTGCTGAGCTTGATCTGGCTTGATCTGGCTTGGCTGCGGGTGGTTGAGCGGACGGGAGAGCGAGCGGCGAGTTGCTGGCCAGTGAGCAGTCGACACGAGACGACGACACGGGCATCAGGACACAAGATCGGGCGGCAGACCAGTGTAGTCTTGTCAATTACCTCACCTTCTATCCCTTCTCCCTCGCCTTCCCTCCCTCTTCTTCGCTCTGACCAGCCCACTGGCCTCGTCGGTCCCGTCGGTCCTCTCGCCACCAGCTGTGTTGGTTGACAGGTGGGCTGGGGCAGGATGGGCAAGGCGGGGAGAAGAAGGGGAGGTGGTGGTGGGGGAAGGGACTGATAGCCATTGCCACTTGTCTCACTATTCACGGGTAGATCATACTAATCTCGTGCTCTGCCTAGCCTGATCGGGGTTGTGCCGGCGGTGGGCGGGTTGGCTCGGGCGGCGATCGGTGGTGAGCAGCAGGCGGTCGGCAGTGATGCTGATGACGGGATGCTGTCGGCTGATGTGTGTATCGGGGCTAGTGGAGTGGGTGGATATGTTTTCAGGGGTAGTGAGTACGTGTGGTGTGCGTGTGGTGGCTATGGGTGGGGATGGTCGGGAGCGGGGGTCGGAGATGGGCCCGGGGAGGGGGGGTCAGCACCGTCGAAACGACACCAGGCCAACAAGTTGGGCCTCGGGTGGCAGAACTCGGATTCTGGAATACTGCAGCTGTGGATTGGAGACTGTACATGGGGGAAGTGTGTGTATGGAGTAGGGTAGTAGTGAAGTCAGATTGGGAATGTCTTGCAATGAGGTTGGTGGGGGGCGTGTGCGGAGTCGGGCGGTCGAGGGCGTGCTCAACCACCTAGGCAAAACAAGCCGACGCGGAAATGAGCCGAGGAAGATGGGTGTCGATGACAGCGATATTTGTACTGGTGATAGTGTGAGGTGAGTGATGACCAGTAGTGTGGTCGCGGGTTGTGTAGCTGGCAGTGGGAAGGAGCTAGGTGGTAGTGAAGGTGGGCCGATCGGGCGAGCGGGCGGCGGCTGGCGGCTGGTGGTCGGCGAGGCAGGGGCAGCAGAGGGGGCTGGGTCGGGGATGGGTGGTTTGAGAATGCTGTTGGTTGGTAGTGGGCAGTATGGCATGTGATGGTTGAGGGGTATGGGTGTCGAGGTCGGGAATGAGGATGAGGGTGAGA